ACTGCATTCTACGCTTGAAATTTCTCCATAGATGTCCCCGTCGCGACGGCCGTGTATCAAAATCCGTAACTACTGCACTGTAATTCGCGAAGTTTACGCGGACGCGAATTAATAGTTTATCTTTTGTAATTTTCGATCAGTTAACGACATTTCAGTCGAAAAATTTTCTAACTTATAATAATTGAAACGCTCGTTTTTTCAAAGCTTTCTAATATATTATTTTATAATTAAGTATACCTTAGTCTAATATTTTAATTATTTTTATGATATATGCATTTTTTTTTTTTTTTGGTATAGTGTTGCTTATATTTTCACGCGCGTATGCTTTTCTATACATTCTGCATCTATCGTAGAGATAAATATAATTCAGAGTTGCTTGACATTGTGACGCTACGCAAGTTGGAATATTTTTGCACATAAATTTTAGCTACCGAGTTTATATTTATAAAGTTACCTCATATTAACCTTCTCTCGTGGTTTTCTGTCGAATATTATTAAAAGCTATTATGATATGCATACTCGAAATGCGACCGTGCATTAACACACATCCATCGGTGTTCCCAATTTTGTCATTGCAACATAGATATGCTTTTAAAGGGTTTCGTCTACATTACATGATGGCAACTTTGATCACTATATTTGTCGCAGTTTTTGTTTGGTTTATTTGAGCTGTTAATTGACTGTAACAGAAATATCGTATTTTGAAGCATCATGCTTCGGCAATATGCTACATGTATGCAAGACACGCGCAAAACAAAACCGCTAAATTGAATCAACATTGCTTTCATGAAACATTCTCAATTAATCCATTAAGGTATAATAATATTGATGCACATTAATGATCTATAAACGTATCTAAATGCAGTAACCTCAAAAGATGATATTTCAAAATAGGTTTATTGATTTATTGTCTACTGCCAATAAAATTGGATTTGCATCAGACCTAGTCTGATATATATCACGTGTATAGGCTTAAAATTTATATATGTGCTAGAACCTCATGATGTAATCTACAACGCGGAATTAATGCTGTTTTAAAGTCACAGCTCGATGAATTAAATTGTCCTCGTAATATGGAAATAATTGTGAAATTTATATTCACTCTCATTATTCTTTATTGACTAGCATTTGTTTTTATATTCAGCGAAAGACCAATTTTTTTATTCATACACATATATTTCTGATGGTTATTTTTTATATACATATGATTTTTTTTATATGTATACTTATATTGTTTTGCGCGTTTGCAATAAAAAATAATTATCACTCACCAGTGCGATGCGCAACAGCGGAGTTGTAGTACACTACGTTGATCTGTAAAATACAAATATTGAAATTATATAAAGTATAGTGTCCATAATAATTAGTATTTTAAAAAATAATTATTCAAAACTGAATTTTTTTTATCCATTAAATAGATACTTAATGAAAAAATTCTCTTATTATCCAAGAAAAATTTTTTTTATACGGATTGTTTGATAATAATTGTATCATCTCTAACAGATAGAGCAGGTGAAATCGAAGAGAAAAGTCCTTTACCATTTTTTTTTACCATTTTGCAATTTTCGTAATAATTATTGAGAAATTAATCAAAAGACATCGACCAATTTGCGCGAGTATAAGCGCGCGACGAGAAGAGACAGCCCAAAAGTAAGCGGTTGTTAGACACGCGACGAAGGGAAGGAATTTATTTGTTGCGAATTGATTGATCTTTTTAAATTAATCTCTCAATAATTATTACGAAAATCACAAAATGGTAAAGGACTTTTTGCCTCGGTTTCACCTGCTCTACTCGTATACGAGAGGTGATACGGTTATTATCGGACACCCTGTATATATACTTTTTAAATTATGATAAATAAGAATTATATAATACATTAATGCAAACAGAGATAAAGAAAACAGATTAATTTTACAAATAATATATAATAAATGTAAGTTAAAAAATTGCTTACCTCACGGTTGCTCCGCTGTCACCTGATGCCATCCCGGACTTCCTCCTCCTCCATTCGTGTTCATCCCTTGCTGCTGTTTATGTTGTTGCTCACACAACATTCTCGCAAGAACACAGTTAATTATAATCGCGCATGTCCTTATCAATAAGATATGATGATCAGATGACACTTTGTACGGCACTCTCGACATTAATTTGTGCACAACGCACATTTTCATGATGTCTGCGACGAGAGAACAACTACGCACGAAGTTACGTTTCGTTTGGCACTCGAAATTTATGCGCTATTTGCCGATGATATATATCTATTACTCATATATATACGCTTGTATTTTAGAACAATTTTACGATTTTTTATTATAACACAAATGTACAAACGTACAAGTTAGAATTAAATTACTAAACACTTGCGGATTGCAATATTGAAAAATATAGATTATGTTTGCCGAGTGTTCTCACGATAGATTTTATGGAATAAATCTCGCGAAATACGCGTTTCGATAAATTACAACAATGTACAAACACTGACTTTTATTAAAATACAGGGTTAATAACGACTAATTACTTATTAATTGAACGCCGTTTAATTAAAATTGTTTAATCTTGCACTTGCTATGTTTTGTCAATGTCCGAAAATTGATAATAATATTGGCATCTGAGATCGTTAAAAAAACAATTACTGCCCATTAAAATCATCCCAAAACCATAATTTATTATTCCCATTTTTCGATCTGATTCGTACTCGAAATGTATATAAATCGCGTGACATATCTGCTTTGATAAATTCTTGTTACATATCTGTCATTTCACGATATGTGAATGATTAATCGCGGAAATTAATTAATAGCGCGGATTGATAATCGTTAATTTTAATGATAGGAAATGATCACGTTTAACGTTGGCCAACACGACTTGTCGCGATCGCGATCTCGAGGTAAATGATACGACATATTTCACACACAGAGCACGGTACGTCATGGCCTTGGAGCTCGAGTCTGACCGCGCGAATCATAACAAGGTCATGTAAATAAGAACGCCGTACGTCGCGAGTGCCGAATACCGTGTGACCAAATAATTTATTGCCACCACGAAATATTTAACACATTACAAGATAAATTCATGCGAAATAGATTCTGTTTCTTAAATTCCAAATTAGTTATTAACAAATAATCGATTATAGCTTTCTTCGTTACTTTAATCACTTGATTCTGCGTTTAATAAAATATTGAAATGTAATTAAATCCAAACATATTTTTAAAATATAATTATCGCGCATAATCTCTCATCGTAATACATATATAAATAAAACAATAATATATGCGATTAATTCTTGTCATAAAAAACGATACATATAAGATCGCGGCGATAGCTATTTATCGAAGCAGATATTTCACGTGTAATAGAATTACATTTATTTAAAGTAAAAATCGTAACGATAGAAAATGGGAATCATAAATTATTGCGATATTTATATATACGCACGATAATTATTTCCTTAAATATGCTTGGATTTAATTACATTTTGCTTTGTACCTTGAATATTTCGCTAATTTAGATATAATTTGCTAATTATTTTTGGACGTACACGAGAACATAAAGTTTTAAAGTAACGAAGAACCAGCAATCATTTATAAATAATTAATTTGAGAAATTCAACGAATATAATATCAAATAAATGGATATATTTTGTAGCGCGACAAATATTTCGTAGAACGTCAACAAAAACATTAACTGCTTACGTGTTCGGCTTTTGGTATGTATAAAGAACGCGTAATTGTTTATGTATCTCGTCATTCGCACGACGAGACGGGAACTCGTCGCTCTCCGTGTGTCGTGATATTATCCCTCGAGACGTGATCGCGCGACAAATATCGGAAAACCTTAAGCGTGATCATTTCCTACGATCATTAAAATTAGCGATTATCGTAATCCATGCGGTCTTATTAATTCCCGCGATTAATCATGTGTACATCGAAACGATAGGTATTTATCAAAGCAGATATTTTGCAGCGATTTATCTCGAGTACGAATCGAGAAACGATAGAAAACAAAGAATATAAGTTATGGTTTTATTATGTTCTTTGCAGGCGGTAATTGTTTTTTTAATAATGCTTGGATGCCGATTATCATTAATAGGTTTCAGTCATTGACGAAATATTGCAAATATGAGATGAATAAACTTCGGTCGAGCAGCGCGTCGCGACGCGTTTAAAAAATCAGTTGTTACTAACTTTATCAGAATAAAATTCTTTTTATAAAAATCGGCGTTTGTACATTGTTGTAGTTTGCCAAAATGCGTATTTTGCAAGATTCTCATTACTTTGAACTTTCGTCATGCGAACAAACATACATATATGTCGGTAAACCTAATCATACATATTTTCAAATATTGCAATTATCTTCAATTTTAATAACATAACATAATAATAAAATTTTCCTAAAATATAAATATATGTATTAATAATAAATATATAGCGTTATTGAATAACGCATAAATTTCGAGCGCCGGGAAAATCTTCGTGCGTAATTCTCGCGTTGTTCTGCCGTCGCAAATGTTAATGCGCATTATACAATTAATATTGGAAGTGCCGTGCAAAGTGTCGCATGATCGTCGTATCCGACGATCTGACAAGTGCGTGCGCGATTATAATTAACTGCGTTTTCGTGGATGTTGAGCGAGCAGCAGCATAAACAGTAGCAAGAGATAAACATGACTGGAAGAGGAAGCCCGGTGAGGCATCAGACGACGGCCGAGCAACTGTGGAGTAAGCAATTTTTTAACTTATTTATTATTTGTAAAATTAATTTCTCTCGTTTATCTTTATGATAGTGATCATCTATTTGCATCTCATTGTATAATATACTAATTCTTATTTAACATATTTTATAAAGTTTATAAAACTAAAAGAATTTTTTTTCAAAAATTACATAATTTATTTATTCAATTTTTATTTAATGTACAAATATAGAAAAAAATTCAGTTTTGAACAATAATTATTTTTTAAGATATTAATTATTATGGACACAACTTTATATAATTTAAATATTTTTTGGTATAGTGTTGCTTATATTTTCACGCGCGTATGCTTTTCTATACATTCTGCATCTATCGTAGAGATAAATATAATTCAGAGTTGCTTGACATTGTGACGCTACGCAAGTTGGAATATTTTTGCACATAAATTTTAGCTACCGAGTTTATATTTATAAAGTTACCTCATATTAACCTTCTCTCGTGGTTTTCTGTCGAATATTATTAAAAGCTATTATGATATGCATACTCGAAATGCGACCGTGCATTAACACACATCCATCGGTGTTCCCAATTTTGTCATTGCAACATAGATATGCTTTTAAAGGGTTTCGTCTACATTACATGATGGCAACTTTGATCACTATATTTGTCGCAGTTTTTGTTTGGTTTATTTGAGCTGTTAATTGACTGTAACAGAAATATCGTATTTTGAAGCATCATGCTTCGGCAATATGCTACATGTATGCAAGACACGCGCAAAACAAAACCGCTAAATTGAATCAACATTGCTTTCATGAAACATTCTCAATTAATCCATTAAGGTATAATAATATTGATGCACATTAATGATCTATAAACGTATCTAAATGCAGTAACCTCAAAAGATGATATTTCAAAATAGGTTTATTGATTTATTGTCTACTGCCAATAAAATTGGATTTGCATCAGACCTAGTCTGATATATATCACGTGTATAGGCTTAAAATTTATATATGTGCTAGAACCTCATGATGTAATCTACAACGCGGAATTAATGCTGTTTTAAAGTCACAGCTCGATGAATTAAATTGTCCTCGTAATATGGAAATAATTGTGAAATTTATATTCACTCTCATTATTCTTTATTGACTAGCATTTGTTTTTATATTCAGCGAAAGACCAATTTTTTTATTCATACACATATATTTCTGATGGTTATTTTTTATATACATATGATTTTTTTTATATGTATACTTATATTGTTTTGCGCGTTTGCAATAAAAAATAATTATCACTCACCAGTGCGATGCGCAACAGCGGAGTTGTAGTACACTACGTTGATCTGTAAAATACAAATATTGAAATTATATAAAGTATAGTGTCCATAATAATTAGTATTTTAAAAAATAATTATTCAAAACTGAATTTTTTTTATCCATTAAATAGATACTTAATGAAAAAATTCTCTTATTATCCAAGAAAAATTTTTTTTATACGGATTGTTTGATAATAATTGTATCATCTCTAACAGATAGAGCAGGTGAAATCGAAGAGAAAAGTCCTTTACCATTTTTTTTACCATTTTGCAATTTTCGTAATAATTATTGAGAAATTAATCAAAAGACATCGACCAATTTGCGCGAGTATAAGCGCGCGACGAGAAGAGACAGCCCAAAAGTAAGCGGTTGTTAGACACGCGACGAAGGGAAGGAATTTATTTGTTGCGAATTGATTGATCTTTTTAAATTAATCTCTCAATAATTATTACGAAAATCACAAAATGGTAAAGGACTTTTTGCCTCGGTTTCACCTGCTCTACTCGTATACGAGAGGTGATACGGTTATTATCGGACACCCTGTATATATACTTTTTAAATTATGATAAATAAGAATTATATAATACATTAATGCAAACAGAGATAAAGAAAACAGATTAATTTTACAAATAATATATAATAAATGTAAGTTAAAAAATTGCTTACCTCACGGTTGCTCCGCTGTCACCTGATGCCATCCCGGACTTCCTCCTCCTCCATTCGTGTTCATCCCTTGCTGCTGTTTATGTTGTTGCTCACACAACATTCTCGCAAGAACACAGTTAATTATAATCGCGCATGTCCTTATCAATAAGATATGATGATCAGATGACACTTTGTACGGCACTCTCGACATTAATTTGTGCACAACGCACATTTTCATGATGTCTGCGACGAGAGAACAACTACGCACGAAGTTACGTTTCGTTTGGCACTCGAAATTTATGCGCTATTTGCCGATGATATATATCTATTACTCATATATATACGCTTGTATTTTAGAACAATTTTACGATTTTTTATTATAACACAAATGTACAAACGTACAAGTTAGAATTAAATTACTAAACACTTGCGGATTGCAATATTGAAAAATATAGATTATGTTTGCCGAGTGTTCTCACGATAGATTTTATGGAATAAATCTCGCGAAATACGCGTTTCGATAAATTACAACAATGTACAAACACTGACTTTTATTAAAATACAGGGTTAATAACGACTAATTACTTATTAATTGAACGCCGTTTAATTAAAATTGTTTAATCTTGCACTTGCTATGTTTTGTCAATGTCCGAAAATTGATAATAATATTGGCATCTGAGATCGTTAAAAAAACAATTACTGCCCATTAAAATCATCCCAAAACCATAATTTATTATTCCCATTTTTCGATTTGATTCGTACTCGAAATGTATATAAATCGCGTGACATATCTGCTTTGATAAATTCTTGTTACATATCTGTCATTTCACGATATGTGAATGATTAATCGCGGAAATTAATTAATAGCGCGGATTGATAATCGTTAATTTTAATGATAGGAAATGATCACGTTTAACGTTGGCCAACACGACTTGTCGCGATCGCGATCTCGAGGTAAATGATACGACATATTTCACACACAGAGCACGGTACGTCATGGCCTTGGAGCTCGAGTCTGACCGCGCGAATCATAACAAGGTCATGTAAATAAGAACGCCGTACGTCGCGAGTGCCGAATACCGTGTGACCAAATAATTTATTGCCACCACGAAATATTTAACACATTACAAGATAAATTCATGCGAAATAGATTCTGTTTCTTAAATTCCAAATTAGTTATTAACAAATAATCGATTATAGCTTTCTTCGTTACTTTAATCACTTGATTCTGCGTTTAATAAAATATTGAAATGTAATTAAATCCAAACATATTTTTAAAATATAATTATCGCGCATAATCTCTCATCGTAATACATATATAAATAAAACAATAATATATGCGATTAATTCTTGTCATAAAAAACGATACATATAAGATCGCGGCGATAGCTATTTATCGAAGCAGATATTTCACGTGTAATAGAATTACATTTATTTAAAGTAAAAATCGTAACGATAGAAAATGGGAATCATAAATTATTGCGATATTTATATATACGCACGATAATTATTTCCTTAAATATGCTTGGATTTAATTACATTTTGCTTTGTACCTTGAATATTTCGCTAATTTAGATATAATTTGCTAATTATTTTTGGACGTACACGAGAACATAAAGTTTTAAAGTAACGAAGAACCAGCAATCATTTATAAATAATTAATTTGAGAAATTCAACGAATATAATATCAAATAAATGGATATATTTTGTAGCGCGACAAATATTTCGTAGAACGTCAACAAAAACATTAACTGCTTACGTGTTCGGCTTTTGGTATGTATAAAGAACGCGTAATTGTTTATGTATCTCGTCATTCGCACGACGAGACGGGAAGATAACACGTCGCTCTCCGTGTGTCGTGATATTATCCCTCGAGACGTGATCGCGCGACAAATATCGGAAAACCTTAAGCGTGATCATTTCCTACGATCATTAAAATTAGCGATTATCGTAATCCATGCGGTCTTATTAATTCCCGCGATTAATCATGTGTACATCGAAACGATAGGTATTTATCAAAGCAGATATTTTGCAGCGATTTATCTCGAGTACGAATCGAGAAACGATAGAAAACAAAGAATATAAGTTATGGTTTTATTATGTTCTTTGCAGGCGGTAATTGTTTTTTTAATAATGCTTGGATGCCGATTATCATTAATAGGTTTCAGTCATTGACGAAATATTGCAAATATGAGATGAATAAACTTCGGTCGAGCAGCGCGTCGCGACGCGTTTAAAAAATCAGTTGTTACTAACTTTATCAGAATAAAATTCTTTTTATAAAAATCGGCGTTTGTACATTGTTGTAGTTTGCCAAAATGCGTATTTTGCAAGATTCTCATTACTTTGAACTTTCGTCATGCGAACAAACATACATATATGTCGGTAAACCTAATCATACATATTTTCAAATATTGCAATTATCTTCAATTTTAATAACATAACATAATAATAAAATTTTCCTAAAATATAAATATATGTATTAATAATAAATATATAGCGTTATTGAATAACGCATAAATTTCGAGCGCCGGGAAAATCTTCGTGCGTAATTCTCGCGTTGTTCTGCCGTCGCAAATGTTAATGCGCATTATACAATTAATATCGGAAGTGCCGTGCAAAGTGTCGCATGATCGTCGTATCCGACGATCTGACAAGTGCGTGCGCGATTATAATTAACTGCGTTTTCGTGGATGTTGAGCGAGCAGCAGCATAAACAGTAGCAAGAGATAAACATGACTGGAAGAGGAAGCCCGGTGAGGCATCAGACGACGGCCGAGCAACTGTGGAGTAAGCAATTTTTTAACTTATTTATTATTTGTAAAATTAATTTCTCTCGTTTATCTTTATGATAGTGATCATCTATTTGCATCTCATTGTATAATATACTAATTCTTATTTAACATATTTTATAAAGTTTATAAAACTAAAAGAATTTTTTTTCAAAAATTACATAATTTATTTATTCAATTTTTATTTAATGTACAAATATAGAAAAAAATTCAGTTTTGAACAATAATTATTTTTTAAGATATTAATTATTATGGACACAACTTTATATAATTTAAATATTTGAATTTTACAGATCAACACGGTATACTGCAACTCCGCTATCGTGCATCGTACCAGTGAGTAATAATTATTTTTTATTTTATATAAATATGTATATACACACACACATAAGAAAGATATTACAAGTATATTAAAAATTTGATTCTTTGCTAACAATTATCAATATATTAAAAATAAGATATACGTTAATAATAGATGCTGCAATAAAAAATATGCTAGAATTAATGGGAGTTAATAAGCACAGAAAAAAATCGTCAAAAAAGAATTAATTTCTAATGGTTAATTTTTTATTAAAACAATACATTAAGTAAACTTCCTAAAAAAGATAGAGAATATACATAAAGCAGTTTAAAATATTCAAAATTCTTGCCCGTATATAAATATATGATTACAAAATCCTGGCTATTATTTCTGCGTTTTCTACCACAAAATATAAATGAATTTGAAGAGGCTTCAAGCTTCTTAGAGATAATATAGTAATTATTTTTCGCCGTATAGCGCTCCATTTCCGTAATAGTTTTGATGAGGTCTTAGTTTTGGTGTTGAACGCTTGCTTCAGTTTCGTTCAATTTCTATCATAATTTTAATATTTTGAGTGTGTGTGTAAACATTTCTACAGATCTGCTTAGTATTAGCAAATTTAAAATTTTCATTTTAAAAATACTTTAAAATTTCGTAAGATTATTTTACAATTATTTCAAATAATAGGTAAAATAAATTGTAAGCTTCTATTACTGCATATTTTGATTTTACATTCAATTTATCAATATTTTTGCATAACAGTATATGTTATTTTCCTGGTTTTAAGTTTGCTAAAACTGCAGAATGCCAACATGAAATTGAGTTATCAGTGTTTCGCTAGAATGTTTTGTTTATGACGAATACGACGCTGCCGCATATATTGATCTACTGAAAGACGCAATATATTCCTTGGCAATCCTGATTCTTGAAGCATCAAAAGATGCTTTTGAAATTCATGCAATCGTCGCATATTTAAAGTATTTACCTACCTGTTGAGCTCACTATTAAAGAAAAATACATTAAATGTATATTTCCTATAACTTTACCGGCATCTTTGCTCGATCAATTTGGCTTCTTTTATTTACATTTATATTTTACTAAGATTTCACAAATTAAATCGATTTGCAGATGAATAATAGACATTTATACGAAATCGCGAAAATGATAAAAATATTTTTCCATTTGTATAGGTAAATAGACGCGCGCAATACCCGACACATTTATTTTCACAATACTCGCTGTATTGTGCTCTTTTTAGACAAGGCGCATGATAAG